CTAACGAGAAGTCAGGATCCACCGCGAGGTACCCCGGATCCCATACATCCGGGTTCGGATCCAAGGAGGGAGGATCCCGCATAGAAGGACCTGGATCCAGGGTACAGGGATGAGGGATGCAGTGGATCTGGAACTTTCGTGGGACAATGGAGGTCACAGACGGTTGCAAGATGATGTTGGACGATTGGAGAGCACGGATCCACGGCGAGTGTACAATTACAGTGAAGTGGATCCAAGCGACCTGGATCCGGATGAGTGTACCCATAATAGGGTGACCATGATGATTACGTCATGGATCCGGTGGATCTGAAGATAATACAGCTGGGATGATGGGTCAAGGGAAGAAGGGACATGCAGTCGAGCCTGGTAAGGGATTTAGCAGATGAAAGACATAGAAGGTAGAAATCCAGGCAGGTATACGCTTAAATATCAATACAGAACCTCATTTGCACCATAACACGCAAGTGCCTTCCTGCCCTCAAGAACCGGAACTACATTGGCCGTACGAGCTCGGAGAAGGTTGGGAATTGCGAATCTAGTGTTGGTAGTGATAACTGGATAATACATTGGCCAGTTCCTACAACCTAGTAAGCTTTCCCATACACGTGCAGATCCGACGGGTTAACCGAATTTACTACTTGGTCGGTTATACCCTAGAGGCTCTCAACTCTCAAGTTCCCGTCACAGGAGGCGGCAAGTACGACGCAAAGGAACGCAAAGGCAAGGGACACACCCGCAAGGCAACCCTACGGCCAGATCCACGATCTAGGCCCCGGATCCATAAGCTCGAATATTCGCTTAGGATTCGGAACAATCCACGGACGCAGAGTGAAGATTTTCCACTGCTGCTTCACCCCATCCCCACGTCTCGCCAAGACACTTAAGCTTCACCACTTGAACTCTTCGGAAGTTACCGAGAGAGCAAGATCCCGCCCTACCGACGGGTACACAAGGTGAGGAAAGCTCAGCAGAACACGGATCATCGGGGGACCCCCTCCGTTAGTCGGTGTCTGGGCGCAGTTGGTAAGTTGGATCTGGCAATCTCGCAGATTTTGCTGATCCCGCTACACCACACGCGCTTCAGGATGTCCCTTGGCAGCATGCGCTTGCTGACCAAGTGGGCAAAGCGAACACGAAGATCACGCTGGTCCAGGATGCGGGACAGCAACTGATCTTCATGGAGTTCCCGTAACTCCGTGGGTGAGTAATTGAGAGACTCCACCCAAGCCCAGAACATGTCCTCACAAGAACTCTACGTGGGACAGTTCTCGGACATAACCCAGGGGTATTTCCAAAGAGGATAGAGACCACCCCGGGTCTCGGGCTTCTTACGACAAGTCGTAAAGTCCTTAAGGGGAATGCGGTGTGGCGCGAGAAGCACACACCGAGCAGCCTCCAAGTTGTCAGCGAACAACTGTTCTTTCTGAACAAGAGCTCGTTCATAGATGCCCCTAGAAGTGTGGCCGCCCACAAGGCCACGAGGAGCGACGAGAAGCTCTAAGAAGAGGTCAGCCCCAGAGCTCTCCTCGGGAGGCCAATACCCTCTTGAGTTGACGGCAGCTCCCTGGCTGACGGGTGCCACCACCGAACCCCCACATACATGCTGGGCAGCTTGGAACTCCTCCTGCTGCTGGTCGAGGTCATTCGAGACCTCCCGGGGCTCAGCAATAGCACCCTCCTCCTCCTCTTCTTCCTCCTTCTCCTCCTCTTCATCCGAGGAGTCGAAGATACTCTGATAGGAGTGTTGAGCCTTCTTCTTCTCGCGGAGTGGAGACTTAGATGCCGTACGCTTCTTTGAGGACTTGGCGCCTTCGACTTTAGAGGCCTTAGCACGCGCAAGACCCTCGGCAAGCGAGAGACGTTTGCGAGAATTCTCTTCCTCATCGCCACCAGCTTTGGGAGTGCGCCTTGACGGCCGGACTCTCAGAGCGCACAGACGTCCTGGGACTGAGATCACCTTGATCACTAGCGAGCGACTGCACGCTGTCGTCCTTGTGCTCGCTGGGCACTGGGCTGTGCCCTCCCGCAGAGCCCGCAGGAGCATCGTTCGTGCTCTCGGCTTCGTCCTCACTGCCAGAGTTGAACTCACGTTCTACGAACCGAGGATTCAGACGATTATCTGGAGAGGCCGAGGGCGACGGGCTGTGGTGCTTGCTTGTTCGCTTGCCCACAGCCGCGTAACCCGAGGAACCGATCGCCTCGGAGGCCACCTGAGTAGCCTCCTGAAGTGCCGAGCCTTTGCCGTGAGGCTTAGTGCTCTTGGCTTGCGCCTTTCCGGCAGCAGCCTTGGAGCGTGTCTTCGCACCGCTCTTTGCAGTGCCACGAGGCATGGTTAAAGGTCGAAGTGCAGACCAAGAAGAAGAGCGCACAGACTGCTGCTCGAGGCTCTAACTGTGAAGTGAGCCTCCGCCGCGCTCGCGCGGCCAAGTCGATGGTTTTCGACTTTGAGAATGAAAGTTTGTGACGAACACTATTTCATCCTGAATGGTCGGTAAACCGAACCTAAGTGGGGGAGGATGTAACGGGGTACGTAGCCCTAGGTGTACCCCTGGTTATATGAAGTGTGACACCTCATACTTCGGGATATTTGGTACAGGGTACCAAGGTCGTCCAAAGCCAACCATAGGTTGATGACATTGTATTTCTATAGGTGACTTATAGTTTGTATTAAACCCAAGCTTTATCTACCTATAAATATACTCAGTTTACATTCTACCTTAAATAGGTCACTTCGCTCTCTTTTTGATAAAGGAGGGGGACTGTGAAACTGCCGTTCACTGAGAGTTTGTACTCTCGGAAGCTAACTTCTT